GAGAGAGAGAGAGAAAGAGAAGGATTTTAAAAACTGAAAGAAGCATACAGCCAGAGCTGACTCCCCTTGGAAGACTATTTTTTCGTAATGTTGCGCGGTTGGGGGTGAGTGAAAGTGTGTATGAGCATGTGCGTGTGCATATGTGTGTATGCATGTGTGTGTGTGTGTGTGTGTGTGTGTGTGTGTGTGTGTGTGTGAGGGGTCAAACTTAAAACAAGCCATGTAATCCAACTCCTCCTTCACAGCCTTTAATTCATTTCCGCATGTATTACGACTGTTGAAATAAGGGAACTAATAACACAAATGAACAAACCAAGGAAAAAATTGAGGGATGGGTTATGGAACCAAGGGAGAGAAGGGGGGGGCGGGGTATCAGAGAGTAGTGAGGGCTACATCTAGGTACTGCGTTATGCATCAGTTCACCTGTCAGACTTTCTCGTCAGCCACAGTAAGAGACCTGAAACATTTCACACACATTAAACACACTAGCTCACCAAAAACCCCAGAACAACCTACCAGGTTGACTCACTGAGAACAAAAAAATTGTTTAAGATAAAACTCCACCCCCGAGGTACACAATTTAAAAAAATAAAATAGCCACATTTTTAAAAAACATATACACATGAAAAATACTCCCCCCAAAAACAAAAACAAAAACGAAAACAACCCTGAACAAAACAAACCACCAAACAAACAAAAATCAAAAACAACACCCACACTGTACTCTAGAACTGTTGGAAAAATACACATTCAAATTTATGACAAGGAAGAAAAGCTAAACCTGCTTCAAATAACAATAAATATTATTGCTAATCCCTTCGAAGATTCATTTATCTCAGTTTTGTTTTCGAGCTTCACCAAAAAAGAACAGTCCAATTTCTTCTTCCTTCGGGGCTCAAAGGATTACAAAGTCAGAAATGTATAAGTAGCCAGCTCCTCATGAGTTGCTGCCAAAGTTGAGACCGTAACCGTACCTTTTGGTTTGTTCAGATTGGTCTTCTGCTTAAGGTTGGTGATCACTGCCTGTTTTACGTGGGCGGGAATGTTGAAATCTGGGGACAAGCGAACCACGAGGGTTAATGTGGAGGTGTGAGAGGGGGGGGAGGGTAGTGGTGGTGGGGGGGGGGGGGGGGGGTGAGGAGTGAGGACAAAGGTGGTTGGGTAGAGGTAACGGGAGGGGGTGTTACTTTAAAAAGTATTAAATGTATGTAGGACAGAGTAAAAGACAAAAATAAATATAGCCTGTCATCACTGTTGCAAAAAATCAGAAACGCTCCACTTTTTTAAAACTCTCCTTTTCTAGTAGACATTAAGACACACCCTTACACCATCCTCCAGTCCAAGATTGTTGTCCGTGTCTCTCACTTGAAGTATATCAAGAAAGTCAAAAAGTGAAGGGAAGGGAGAAGTGCTTGGGTCATAATAATAATAATAATAATAGATAGCATTTGTTTAGCGCATTCCCTGCTCAACAGCAGGCTCTATGCGCTTTACACTACATTATTACCCCAGCAGACCATAGAACACTCCGAAACATTCTCAGCTTCCCGGGAAGCATACATTGACTTCTTTACCTCCCTTAGATCTGCCACCCAGGCAAAGTTGTATCAAGCAGACTACTTTAGTCATCATTGGAATCGATAGACAGCCATAGACTGCATCTGCTGTGATATGTACATTTTGTCAGCTTTACTTCTCTTTTCGTATTGAATTTTAATGAGAGTAATATATATATATAATTTAGATTTTTATGTATACCCGCACGTGTTTTTACGGTCCTGTACAACCAAGAAAAATTTCCTCTGGGATAATAAAATATTATCTTATCTTATCGTAATGAGTAAAGTATTATTCTCCTGACTTTGGTGGTTACAGTAACTAATTTTTAAAAAATCAACTATATCTCTATATTTTACTTCAACAGCCACTCTAGTGAACTAGATAGAGGTAAAACAAACCAACGTGTCCTAGCTCCTCCAGAATAAACAGTGAAGTAAAAGATGGGTAAGATATTGTAATACCGTATCATTTAGTAAACAATTAGGAAGCAATCATTTGGAACACTTAACTCAGAGTGCACCTAAACTTTTGTAAACTTTTGTTTCCGATAATTTCATTCAGTTAACTCTTGCATCACTTAAACAAAATGCAGTAAAGAATCTTATGTCTTTTGTAAACTAACAAACAGGACTGCAGTCTAGCGAATTTTGAGACACCCTGAATTTTTTTTTTTAATTTGAAGAGAATGAAACTGTTCAAAGAACGAAAGAAACCTCCTCCAAGACAGGCTGAAAGAAAAGAAAAGGCCAAAAAAAAAATTCTTACTATTTTCCGTGTCGTCTTTCACGCGGTTGCGCTCCTCCTCGAAGGCTTTGAGCCATCGTTGCTTAGCAACAGCCGTCTTGGCCACCAGAAGGTACCACTTGTCCTTGTGAGAGTCGTGAAGCTTCCAGGCATTCCGCACAGACACGTTGTACTGGGAATCTGTAAATAGAGAGAGAGCAGAGTGGTGGGTTTGTTAAGTTTAGTTTTAATAAGACTCAGGGGGGGGGTTGTTTTTGGGGGTTTCATTTTTAAAATATTTTTATAGCAAGCTTATTTTTTTTAGTATTAGTAAGAGTTTTTTGGGGGGTTTTGAAGTTTTAGTATGAGGTTTTTAAGTTTAAGTAAGACTTTTCTTTTAGTTTTAGTAACCTTCTTATTTCAGTTGTAAGTATTTCTTTAAGTTTTAGGAAGAGTAATAGACCTTACAGCTACTACAGAAACCAATACGGTGCTGAGCCCAAACAAGAACATATGACATAAATCTGTCTCTCCACGCCACAACTGACCTCTGCCATCAGGAATGTTGACCACCTGGCAAGAGTCCATGCCGATGCGACCTTTGTAGCCGAAGGTCGACTTTTTGAGCAGATCCTTCTTACAGTAGATGAGCTGGTGGTCGAACAGGAAGAAGTAGCGCTCCTGTGACCAGCCTGCATGGTTGATCTTGTGCAACTCCCCCGAGTAGATCAGCTCGGAGCTTTCCTCCAAGATGTCAGAGCCCTGCACAGGTAGATAAAGAACCAAAAATTAATGAAAATATATTCCTCTTTTAATGATTCTCAGATTCAAAAAAAAATTTATCTTCTTATTTTGTTTGACGAAGGTGTTTTCATGCCCCCATCAACACAATTTAAGCCTAATTCGTAGGCCAGCGTTGACCCTACCATTCATCCTGTGTGGGAAATTTGGTTTACAATAGTCTTTGTTTATAGGTACATAGATAAAAAGATGCAACATAGCATCAATGTTACTTAAATCCACAATATCACCCAAATACAGACAGTAAAAACAGCCACACACCACCATAAACCCACATTCTACTCATCTCCCCCCCCTCCCAAAACCCTCCGAGTCGTCCACCAACTTCCCCACTTATACCCCTCCCTCTCCCCACACTATAACTACACCCCCCCCTCCCCTTTCCACCCCACACATACAATGACTGAAGTGTCTTTAGGCCATTCCCAAAGGGGGGACATTAAGCATGTTCTTATGCTCCCTGAAATTTCTGGCTTAGCCCCTAGCCCCAGCAACGACACCCTATATTGTTATGATTTTAGCATCGTAGTACCGTGCTTGCTATAAAAAGT